TCTGTCTGCTCCAGTTTTGATTCCCCCCACTGTGCTTTAAAAGATGAAACATGAAATTCAATATAGAATTTGCCGAGGCTCAAACTGCTTGGTTTCTGTGTTTTTTTTGGGGGGGGTTTCTAGTTGATGTATTTATAATAAGGATGCACCAATACCGTTTTTTTAGTATCGAGTACTGCTATTTTCTTTTCGGGTACTCGCCAATACCGATACCGGAAGTCCTATTAAGGAAGCCAGGCGGCGTGAAATGACTCGCCCACCCGCCTTCCCGATCAGCATGGCCAATCAGGAAGCTGAGCGCAGTGTGATGACATGTTGCCCGGCTTCCTGATTGGTCAAGAAGCTGGCCAATCAGGAAGCCGGGCAACGCGCCATTACACGGTGCCCGGCTTCCTGATTGGCCGGGAAGCCGGCTCCATGCTCCCTCGTCACCAGCTGATGAGGTAGCATGAAGCCTGCTTTCTGGCCAATCGGAAAGCCGGGGGCGTGTAATGACTCGCTGCACGGCTTCCTGATACTGGAAGCTCAAGTATTGGAGCATTTGGGCGAGTATGAGTACTCGGCATCGGCACCGATACTGATATCGGTCCATCCCTAATTTATAATAACAAATGTCCTTCATTTTACTGTTCTGCAATGTACAGTGCTTATAAACGTTCATATTTGTTTTGCAAAGTGCAATAGCTGTGTTGTTAGTCAACATAAGTGTTATAAATGACATCAGGTTCAGATCAAAAGCACAGACTTTCCTCTGACTTCACTAGATACATGTGCCTTCCAGGTCAATGACTCAAAATATTGATACCTGGGACCACCAACCAGCATTTTTCTGAAGGAGTTTAGCAACAGCAGTGCTTACATTTCTCTTACTAGGTTTCCTTCCTAGGTTTTTTTGGCTGCCCCAGTAGCCTGAATTCCTGAGATGTTGTAAAAAGGAAACTGCAGGCTGAGCTTCCATGGGTTGAGAATAGACTTCAGAGTACACAAAAATGCGAGTAGTCATAAAGTGTACATCTGCAGAGGTTTTAGAATAGTAAACCTCAAGGTAGCTGCTTACAGAACACATACAAGTCTAAATTCCTTTGGTGCCCTCTAAAGGTATTTACAACCAGAATTTGCCTTGTTGCCCTATCTCTTCCTAACGCCTGTGCCTACCTATTGGCCAGCAATGTGATGGATGAACTCACTGACCAACAGGTGCTTGGAAAATATGGGGAATGATCAACTGGTCATTCATTTGGGTAGATACTTTGCAGAGTGGCCTGCTAGCCTGAATTCCTGGGTGCACTATAAAGGAATACCGGCATTCCTTTATAGTGCACCCAGGAATTCAGGCTAGCAGGCCACTCTGCAAAGTATCTACCCAAATGAATGACCAGTTGATCATTCCTAAACCCCTCCACAAGTATTCTGTAAGGTCACCATATTAACGTTTTCCTATAATTGTTCAAAATTGTTTCCAATTGCACAATGTAAATGTAACTGCGTGCCCAAAACTACTCTCTGTCTATATTCAGCTGCTGGTGTTTGAGTCTGGATACAAAAAAAGTTCCTTTTACAATTTGTGTGCCGATTTAATTATTTGATGGTTTCACTTTGTAAATTGTTCACATGACAACATTTTACTTAGACAAATATAATCTTGCCGGGGAGGCAAATCCTTTTTTCTATGTTTTAGCAAGTTGTGTGCTTCTGACTGGTAACCTGAGCTGCTGGTTCCTCGACTAGTACACTTGTGCCGTGATTTCTTGCAGGCTATGACCTGCATTCATTCCAAGTTGGTGCCTTTCTTCAGCTGGTAGAAGAGCATTATACTTCTGTTCATGCACCTCCCATGGGAGGCAGAAACAAGCTTTGATGTGTTTTTAAGAATGCTGTTTCAGCACTTTTTCTCCACTAACCACACAGTGTGTTTGAATTGTGACTATTTTTTTTAACAAACGTGCGAGTAGGCAAACTTCTATATACACGGTTGAAATTACAAACTGTGAACGGTGATTCTTTTGAGACAGTTTTCTAATCAAGACACTTCTGCCAGACACTATACAAGGTCCTGGCCATTGGTAGTAACAGGAATTCAGATTATGAATGGTATTCAATGTCTACAGGTTAAAAACAGAAAAATCCTAAAAATAGGGGCTGAAATTGTTAATTTCCTTATAGGCAAAACCCCCACGGCTCCAAGCTCATGGATGGACTACAATCTCAATAAAGATTAGTAAACTAAACGAGATTGTAGTCCATCACAGGAAATCACTTGGAGCGGTGGCTACTTTACAACACACAGAGGGACCATGGGGAATAAAAGTAGCCCCTCTCCAGAAGGAAGGACAGTGTCAGCACCAATTCAGAGATGATTTGAGGATCTACAGCTGAGTGATACACAAATAAGATTAATTTTTGTTAATGTACTTGAATTAATTTTTAAGATTTAACTCCTGAGTTTAGTGCCACTTAAAGTCTTAGTATACTGTAATTATAGTCAAGCCATACATATATTTCAAAACCTGTTTGAGTTTTAATGCTATTTGGAGTTTTGTTTAGCATTGTCAGTTGCAGGAGTGTTTATACTGGCCGAGCCAGTTTCACCTAGAAAGCTGACTGGTTCTAATTGAATACAAGTGCTTAGGTGGAAAGACCAGTTTTATTTTTATTGAGTTCGCATTGCATTTTGATTGATCCAAGTGCAGTGTGTGTTTTATAATCATGGTTATTAACCTCTTGCCGTCCGCCCGTTAAGAAAAAACGGACGCACGGCAGACTCGCATCAGCGGGTTGCCGTCGTCAGCGGCGAGTCGGGAAGTTCACCGGGAGGAGAGGGCCAGACACATGTGGCGTGGTGTAAGCGGCGTGCAGCGGCGAGCGGGAAATTTGAATTTTAGCCGATGAATCGACGATGGAAAGCGTTGACAACGTTTTTCATCGTCGATTTTAATTGACTTAATCGAATAACTGTTGCAGCTCTACATGTTACATATCGCAGTGAACGTCGCAGTGAGAGCAATCATTTTAGGGCCATCAATCACTGATAACACTAAACTGATGAGCCGTAAAAGCTTTTAATGCCTCGCCTATGGCCAATTTTGGGTAATGTAGTTTTTTTGAGGTTTCGCGCGCATTCGCAATTTTAAGGCTTGACAAGTTTGGTGTCTCTTTACCCGACGTGACCCCGTCTTTTATATTTTACCAAAAAATTTGGTAATAATAAATGTTTTATCATTTAATATAGGGGAAACAGTTTTTTTTTTATAAATCTGTAGTTTTTCCTTAATATATTAAAAAATAAAAACCCCAGTGGTGATTAAATACCACCAAAATAAAGCTCTATGTGTCCCCAAAAAAGGGTATAAAATTAATTTAAGTACAGAATTGCATGACGGAATAAATGTCAGTCAAAGTACCGCAGCGCTGAATACTGAAAAATGGCCTGGATGGGAAGGGGGTTTAACACCCCGGATGTCAACTGGTTAAAATGGCAGAGAATGCTTTAGAGACTATTTTTGTTTTCTTGACTAATATCTAAATTAGGGATGCCCCAATACTAGTATCGGTGCAAACATTCTCTTGCCAGCAAGGCAGTAGTGTAGGAGAGCTGCTTTGTTGGGTCCGGCAAGCAAGGAAGCCAAATGTTTGTATTAAGTGAGTGTTCCCTCTGCTTCTTTAGTGATCTGTCACTGGGGAATAGTCCCCAGTGTCAGGAGTACTAGTGTGAAATGTTCAGGTTAGTAAATCTGTAAGGGACTAGATCACACCAGACAGTAAATCAGAGGTGGACAAATGAATATGGAATTCAGCCAGCAGGATTTTTTTCTTCAGGAGCCAGCTCCATTGACAACAACTAGAATACAAACCAGTTAGGTGCCAGCTGTAAATATTTAAGGAGCATTGGCTACCTGGCTCCTGCGATTTGCCCAGCTCTGCAGTACAAATTATATTCTCATTTTTTTTTTTTGAATCCTGGCTGTCCCACTTCAATACAGTGATTCTACACATTTACCCTATTTGTACAAAGACACACAAGAATATATTTAAACTGTATCTAAACCCAAGAAAGTGTATATACTGCAGCTCATCAGTTAAGATGTAGTGGCTGCATTATTATTTTTTTCATTCTTTATTTGGTGATTCTGCCAGTAACAAACTGCCCCAAAGTGACAGCACTTTGTATCGGTATCTATGGAGGAGCAATGTTGTCACCCTGGAACAGAATGTGTGTTAGGGCAAGAATACTCCTCCCCTTTCCTCATCTCCATTACATAGTGAGGAGGCTTTCTGTCACAGGGATAAACTTGGGGAGAGCTGATGAAGCTTAAAGGAGAACTTTGAGGTGAGTGCTTTTCACTCATCCTCATAGTTCTAGCCGAACTGTGACAATGAGACTGTCACAGGTCGGCTCTGTAGATCGGGAAGTGAGCGAACACATACTGGCGTTCGCTCACTTCTCGATCCTGTCACAGCTTTCTACCGTGACAGGTGAGTGGCTGGATTCCCCCCTCCGATCCTCCAGCGCTGACTGGCGGAACGGAGGGGGCAGGTACACCTGGCTCTTCCTCTAGATAGGCAGAGCCAGCTGTCACTCACGCAGCTGGGCGGATCCAGATATAATTGTCGGGATCCGCTTCAGCTGCGGCGTCTCAGTATACCTCAAGCTGTAGCTCGCGGTATATTGAGCTTTGAGTGATGGGAGGACGCTAGTTTGTGTCCTCCCGTTACCCTAAGGAGAACTATGGGGAAAAGCCTTAACCCCATAGTTCTCCTTTAAGATAAGACTGCTAAGTGCACTGGACAACACTGGGTTTCTGGTATGATGAGCAGGTAACTGGCGCGTATCTAACAGTTATACCAAAACTTTTTCAATGGTGTTAAAGCAAAATTGAACAAATAAGAGACGCTCATTGTTGAGGTTTAAATACGCTGTACAGTTGAAGTTTTAGGCACTGTGTTTTCTTGCAATTTGTAAGTTTGTATTACATGAACATATATGTAATGTTTGAAATTCTTACGTGTATCTGAATGTCTTCAATTCTTTCATTCAGAGATGTTATGAACACAAGCAATATCGAAATGGGTTGAAGTTTTGTAAGCAGATACTTTCCAATCCCAAATTTGCTGAACATGGGGGTGAGTGTTGATATTGAGCTTTTTCCTGTATGTATTTGTGTAGGTTTCTTGCTCTAAGAATTACATTTCAGGACCTAATAATTTTAATGAAAGCAACCAATACGATCACTAAACTATAGATTTTCTCTACAGAAACTCTGGCAATGAAAGGATTGACTTTAAATTGTCTTGGAAAAAAGGAGGATGCTTATGATCTTGTACGAAGAGGATTGAGAAATGATCTAAAGAGTCATGTCTGTATCCTTTACAAATCTTCTAGTCCTGTGCCAAGTTGTATTCTTGGTAATGAAGCTTACATAATCCATCCAAGTGCTTTTCAGAACCCGTTTTGTGATATGCATTCATTGCCTCAACGAAACCATGCACTAGGTGTTCTTATTTTAAGTATCAGACAACTGTGATAGAAAACCTGTGTTTAAAACTGTACATATGTGCATATTGAGTTGCCATTTTTCTTAACTTGGCCATCAAGGCTGGCATGTGTATGGATTATTACAAAGGTCTGACAAAAAGTATGATGAAGCCATCAAGTGTTACAGGAATGCATTAAAATGGGACAAAGACAATCTCCAGATCCTGAGGGACCTCTCCCTGCTTCAAATTCAAATGCGGGACCTGGAAGGTTACCGGGTATGTGAAAATTTCCTAGTGCACCAGTATCAGCATTATATCTAACAGTCTTTACCTTTGTGAGAAGATGATGTATGAATATGGCAAATAAACCCTTTCTGTATGCTTTTATTTTTCTAAATATATAATATTTTAAATAGAAACATTTTCCTAATTTGCAGGAAACCAGGTACCAGTTGTTGCAGTTGAGGCCAGCACAAAGGGCATCTTGGATTGGTTATGCAATTGCGTATCATTTGCTTGAAGACTATGAGATGGCTGCCAAAATCCTGGAGGAATTCCGTAAGACCCAGCAGGTATTGCGAGTGGCTGTGCTCAATATATTTTGCATATATTAAAACTGATCTCCAGTCTTTTGAGGATTATTTATTTATCTTGGTTCGTTAAACGAGAACTATGGGGTTAGGGCTTTTCCCCATAGTTCTCAACGTAACGGGAGGACACAAACTAGCGTTCTCCCGTCACCCTAAGCTCAGTATACCGCGAGCTACTGCTCGTGGTATACTGAGACGCCGCAGCTGAAGCGGATCCCGACAATTATGTCTGGATCCGCCCAGCTGTGTGAGTGACAGCTGGCTCTGCCTATCTAGAGGCAGAGCCAGCTGTACCTCCCCCCTCCGTTCCGCCAGTCAGCGCTGGCGGATCAGAGCGGTGAGGGGGGAATCCAGCCCCTCCCCTGTCACGGCAGAGAGCTGTGACAGGTGAGCGAACGCCTGTATGTGTTCGCTCACCTCCCGATCTACTGAGCCGACCTGTGACAGTCTCGCAGGCCGCAATTGGCCCGCGGGCCGATACTTTGAGGCCCCTGGCCACCCTTCCCCTTGGCCCTGTAAGTTAGCTAAGGCTGTTGTCTAGCTAGGATGCTCTTTCCAAATTGCACAACGAGAAAGTTGGCACTTGGTAGCTTTGGCCTCCCCCTTCAGGTTTTTTTTTTTTAATTGGTCAAAGTCTGCAAATGAAATGTTAACTATGCAGACTACACATTAATGGATGCACCAGTAAGGAAGTCAGAAATGGAAAAAGTTTCGGGGGCTCATAGTAGACCACAGATTGAATAACGGCATACAATGCCAAGCTGCGGCAAACAAAGCGAGCAGAGTACTGTCTTGTATTAAAAAGGGAATGTACTGTAGAGACAAAGCAATTATTTTGGCACTTTATAGATCACTGGTTGGGCCTCATCTGGATTATGCGGTCCAGTTTTGGACACCAATCCACAGAAAGAATGTCCTTGAACTGGAGAGGGTTCAGAGAAGGGCAACAAAGCTATGAGACAAGGTTACTAAATTAAAACCGGTTAACTCTAGAAATGAGATGACTACGAGGAGACATGATTTAGATGTACACATTTTTGAAAGGTGACAGTAATATCAGTAATAAACTTTTTTTTACTGTAAACTCGCTAGAAAAGACAAGAGGCCCCCACCTGAATTTGGAGGAGAAAAGGTTTAACCACAAAGGGCGTAGGGGATTCTTTCTGTTAGAGCGTTAACATTGTGGGACTCTTCCAGAAGTAGTGGTATCAGCTGAGCGTATGGAATCATTTCAAATCGTTTAGATTCTTTCCTCTGAAAACAGGGTTACAGGTACTCTTGGTGAATCATACAGAAACGTACATACACACATGCTCACAAAGGTTGAACTCGATGGACCGGTGTCTTTTTTTTCTTCTTCTTCAACCTCAAATACTATGCATTACTTCGTTCAAAATTACTAAGATTATTTTCTCTTTCGGTTTGTGTTGTGTACAAGGATTCAGAATGATCGAAGTTGTCTGCTCTGCTTTTTTCTTAGACTTCTCCCGATAAAGTCGATTATGAGTATAGTGAGCTGCTGCTTTATCAGAACCAGGTCCTCCGTGAAGCTGAGCTCTTTAAGGAGGCATTGGATCATCTTTCTACATATGAAAAGCAGATCTGTGATAAGCTAGCAGTGGAAGAAACAAAAGGTATATTTTTAAGCTTCATGTGCGTTTTCTGGTATTTAACTTGTGACTAAGATCAATCCAGAATAAGAGGCATTTCACTGATATTCATTTTGTGTCATGGATAACGTTTTTGACACTCTTGCTTCTGAATTCTGCCTACAGTTTACTCGGATATATGGCAGTCTGCCCTTTTATGTAAACGATTTCTAGGACGGACTGATGTGTAGGTACACTGTAATCATAAACTGCTACTACCTAATAATGGTTTTTTTGGGGGGTTTTTAATGCCTTCTGTGTCCACTTTGGAAGATTTCCTTGTGCCATCTGTTCTGTGATAACTTAGCGTATTTCCACTTTCACAGGGGAAAATGAGAAAACCCCACTATTATTATTACAGGTATTTATATAGCACCGACAATTTATGCAGCACTTTACATAGTTGCGCATTCCCATCAGTCCCTACCCTCAAGGAGCTTACAATCTAAGGTCCCTAACTCACATGCATACATAGAGGGCCAAGAAAAAGATTGAGTCCTCAATCTCTTTTTCTATTTTAAAAAGGAAATAGGGGTCTGCTTAGACCCCCAATATTTCCCCAAAGCCCCTAACAGTAAAGTAAAAAATATTTAATAAAAATGAATAAATAAAATCTAAAAAAATAAAACTTTATAAAAAATAAATAAAAATTAAATATTTTTTAAAAATTGAAAAAGTTAGAATAAAAACCATTTTCGGTTTCGGCCTGACAATTTTTTTTTTTTTTCACTTCAGTGCACCTCTATTTTTCTTTTCAATATTTCTTTTTTAAAGTGCACTTAATTCTGTTTTTTTTCCCCCAGGAGAATTATTGCTGCGTTTGGGTCGACTTGAGGAGGCAGCAGATGTTTATCGAGGTTTGCAGGAGAGGAGCCCTGAGAACTGGGCATATTATAAGGGTTTAGAAAATGCCCTGAGGCCAGGTAATTCTACATTAGTTTGTATGTATATGTAAGTATTGATTTAGAAGAAATAAGTAGAAGCCGCTAATATAACATTTTCACATAAAAAGAAAAGGTGGACTTTGCTATTGCTGACTTCCTGAGAATGCTAACTGCCAATCTGTCATGTTGATCCTGTTACTTTAGAACTGACCCAGAACAAATATGCAAGCAAACTCGGAACATTCTTGTCCTGGTTATTGGTAATTGGTTATTGGCAGGCGGAGTGGTGGCGCGGAGCAGTGTGTCATGTCATTTTCTTCTGGGCACCTCAGCTGGCGAGAGCTCGCGTATAAACCGGCGCGATGGGATGCGACGTCTGGCCGGTTGTTAAGCACGTGCCGATTGGCTGAAGGTGCAGTCAATCATCTGACTGCACTCAGCTCACACACTGCACGCAAAGCTCCGTGCCGGATAGCTTTGCTTCACTCTGCACGGCTTCGCGTGCAGTGTGTCACGGCCTTAACAGCCTAAGTTACTGAGCTTTGGGCTTGTGTTGATGTCATCAGTTTGAGATGTATCTGAGCTCATTTAGAAATTGACAGGTGCAAGTGACCTCCCTCGGACTTTCTTTTGACCTGCTTCAATCAGGTTTTGCATTCCTGTAGACCTTTTATGGAAATGCAAAACAACTTGAAGCACGCAAAGGCCCATTGCTACAGGTCTTAGATCTTGGATCTGTCCTGCCCACTTTTGTGCCTACTCATGTTGTCGCAGAAAGATGTGGCACCATTCTAATAATGGCTGCAGCATGTGTTTGGTTATGGTATTAAAATCAAAGAGTTCTTGCAATTGAAGTCTTCAAGAGGTTTAAGAAAATATTATAGGTCATTGAATTCTCCATCATCTACACATGGATACCAGTTTAGAAGAAGTGAGCTTTTAAAAATGTAAGAGACAAAAGAACCCCCTTGCGGACATTGTAATGTAGTGTTGCACCCTGGAATTAAAATGTATTTTTTTTAGTGCTGGAATCCCTAAGAAACCTGAGGCGCAGGAAGATGATTGTAAAAGAAAATTATGATGTTTTGTTCTAACTTTCCCCACTGTAATTTTTGTTTTTCAAATTGGTCCTCAAGCACTTGCGGGAAAAATTTGAGATAGCTTAAAAACCTTTTGACTTTATATCTCAAATTCTGAACCCTGGCCCTAATATCCTGTTTTAGGGCAGCTACTTGTGTGTGCTAGTAAGCTGTGTGTGTCCCCACAAATAGGCTCAGCGGGATGTCCCCTCCTCCCGTCTTTGTTCTGTAATCTAGTAGGACAGCTACTGGAGACTGGTGTCCCTTGTACTGGACAGGATGTTCAGGGTAGTGGAGCTGAGTGAGTTGGAGCTGCTGTTTGGGAACATTACTATTTTACTTGGGGAAAAATGTTAAGAAATGCATTGCTGGGCAATGTATTTATTTTGGTCTGGATTCATTATTTAAAAAAAAAGGTTTGAGAGTTTAATACTACTTTATTGCAACTTGTCATTCTTAGTAAATTACGTTAATCCTGCTTTTTCCATGGATTTCTTATTGTCAGTTGCAATGGTCAGCCATTTCTATGTTAGGAAGCCAGCCACTTCTTTGCTGGAAACTGCTCCATGTGACTCTTTGTCAGCTGGTGGGGCAACTCTAGAAGCTTGAAAGACATCTGCTCTCTTTCCTCTGATGTCTTCAGGCTAGTTCAGAGGTTACCTACTTGCTTCTACCCCCAGATCTCACAGTGCAGACCAACTACAATATGTTATGTGGCCACAGTAAATAGCATTGGGAGAAAGGTGTTTAGCATCAATATTTACATATGAGTTATAGACTATTGCTTCCATTGTTAGAGTAGCTGATGTTACATATGAACTAGTTGAAATGGGTTTGCTGACACTTTAAATGCCCATTATATTAAAAGTAAATTAATAGACGGCGGTTTATTATTACATGTATTATCTGCATACTGTAAGAATATATATACTTTTTTCTTGGTCATGAATTCTGCAGATTAGTTATTCTGTTTTGTATTTATGTACCAGATTTTGCTTAAAACAAAATGTTATTAAGTGGAGTACATGGTTTTGGTTTAAGCATATCTGTTATAAAACATTTTGTATGTATATCCATTTACAGCCACCATGGAAGAGAGGCTGAAGATTTATGAGGACAGTTGGACGAAGTTTCCCAAAGGTTTGGTGTCAAGGAGACTGCCTTTAAACTTCTTAACAGGTGTGTAAAATGATCCGTTGTCCTGCTAATGTACAATTGCTCTGCTGCTTGTTCACCCAATACTCTGTTTTAGGTGAAAAATTTAGAGTGTGCTTGGATAAATTTTTGAGGATGAACTTCAGCAAAGGGTGCCCTCCTGTTTTCAACACTTTGCGGTTGTTGTATGGTGACAAGGAGAAGGTAAAGTAATGGTGGCTACGTGCATTTTCAATTTCTCTTTTATAACCAAATGTGTTTTTACATCTTTGAATTTGGACTTGTACTGTAGTCTCAGCTTCTAAACTTTATTTTCATGGTACTTCTCAGGTGGAGATTATTGAAAACCTTGTCGTAGGTTATGAGACATCACTAAAAAGTTGCCGACTGTTTAACATCAATGGTAAGTGTGACTTCGATTACTAAGTATTTTTCCAGGGTATGGAGGATCATGTGACCTCCGTTACTTTAATGATACAGAGTTTGGCAGTCTGAGCTGTCAATACCTAGGCATGAGTTTTGTCACATTTTGGCAGGGAGTGGTGCTTGCGTGGCACAGGGCTTGCTCACTTGGTTCTGTCAAACTTGAAGGAGCAAAGGGGAATGTGGTTAGTAAGAGCAGCAAAGAGGCCTGGATATTAAGTGGACCTGTTAATTACCTTTAATAGAGAAAGCACAAGTTCATCTTAAGCCAGAATTATCAGATTTCTGTAATAGTAGATGTTTAATTTTTGCATGATTTGGTAAGTTACTCTCAACATGTAATCCCGTGTCTGTCTTATTTAATTGCACAGATGATGGCAAAGAAGAACCACCAACGACATTGCTGTGGGTTCAGTACTACTTGGCACAGCACTATGACAAGATTGGTCTATCGTCTTTAGCTCTGGATTACATTAATGCAGCTATTGAAAGCACACCAACGCTGATCGAACTCTTCCTTGTGAAAGCTAAAATATACAAGGTAGCTGAATAAACCTGCTAGATATGACATCAGTGAAACATACCTTCATGCCTTTGAGTTCTTGAAAGTGTATAAAGTATTTTTGAGGTTTTTTTTTTTTTTCTCTACTATTGTCCCAAGGGATGATCGTATAAACCTAATATCGTTGTAAAAAAAAAAATAGGTCTCCTAATGTCTTCGAGGCTGTTTGGGTCCATTTACACATGTGGGCTCTTTAAGTGTGCTGTTTTTATTTTAAAAAAAAAAGTTTTAAAATGTGCTGTTGCGTAGAAAGTAATTTAAAAAAAATTTGAAACTTAAACATTTTTTTATTTTAGTGTAAATGGCTCCCTAGGAAAGACTACTAGCAGAGTTCAGTGTAAAATTCCCATTTATGTATTATTTAGGTTCTATGTGGCCAGTTACCTTGAAATTACCCAACCATGTCCGCCATGCCACTCTACTTATGCAACTTCTGGTGTGGGGCACACTCCTGGCCTCCCACAATGCCGTTTTCTGTGCTTCAGTTTCCAGGACACTATCTTTTGGGGGATACAATTAATCATTTTCAGAGGTAGTGATAAACTGGAAGATTTTTGCTGCCCGAGAAGAGTTTTAAAGTTGGTGGAGCCCCATTAATGCAGTTGGATGTGGATAGATTTTTAACTTGACACAGGTTTAGACAAATTCATGTAAATATTAGGAGACCAGCTAGTCTAGGAGCCTACTTCAAATGTTAAGGATCCATTTACAAGAGAGATTAAGAAATTTTAGGAATAGTTTGTGCAGTGTTTTTTTTTAAAAGAATAACTCAGCTCATAAGTATTCTTAAAGGGGTTCTAAACCCTCCGTTTTTTTGCTTATAACTAGCAAGCAGTAGATATAGGCAAGAAGTTTTTAAAAAAACCCCGCTTTAACTAGGTTTAAACTTACCTCGTTATCGCTGCGCACTCCCGCGCCGAGAATCAGGAACTGCTCGTACGGCCGCAAAGCATCTTGGGGCGGGCGCATGCGCTGTTCCCATTCTCGGCCGGGAGATGAGCATGGACGCGTGCACCCGCATGCAGACACCGCTGGATCAGAGGGACAGAGCAGTCAGCGCTGGATCGGAGAGATGAAAACATCAGGAAAGAAGATCGGAATAAGAGACATCATTTAAGTTAAGTGCTAACATTAACATGGGGGGGGGGAGGGAAAAAACAATTTGACTTTAATGTCACTTTAACCCTTGCAGTAGGACTACCCCTGCACTGCGAGGGTTAAACGCTGATTTTTGTGTAGGGACAAAAATAAGCTATACTTGGCTGAACCTTGGAGCCAGCTGGCTGCTAGTCTGGTTCCGGCAGCCTGTCTCCTTCCCTGCTCCAGCAATGGTATATTCCTCGGTGTCCTCAGGATGTGATGACTCACAGGACCTTAGACCGCTGGAGCAGAGAGGAAGAGAGGCTGGAAGTACAGGTTTAACAGCCAGCCAGCTGCGGTTCAGGTGAGTATAGCTTTTTTTTTTCGTCCCTAGATGAAAACAAGCACTTAACCCCTTTTAGTGTAAGGGTAGCCCCACTGCAAGGGTCAAGAATAAGCCCAGAGTAGTTCTTTTTAATATGTACACCATTCATGCGTTTGTTTTTTATTTGTATTGGCTTCAATTGATACAATGTGTTATGTTTGACATTGGTTTTCTCTCCCTCTTCTAGCATGCTGGTAACATCAAAGAGGCTGTTCGGTGGATGGATGAAGCTCAAGCCCTGGACACAGCAGATAGGTTTATCAACTCAAAGTGTGCAAAGTACATGTTGAAAGCCAACATGATAAAGGATGCTGAGGAGATGTGCTCGAAGTTTACAAGGGTTTGTTTCACAGTTTATTTTTAAATGTGTGCAAATGTCATTCCAGCACGTTGTGTTCTCTGCTTGTAAATTTGCTCTACACATGATAATTCTTTATTATGGTGGTATTGTATATTTTAAGTAATCTACTTAGCTGCTCATCTGCAGGTCTTTGTCGCTCAGGTAGGTGGAGGCTGAGCCACAGGTTTACAGTGGGTCCCCCCCCCAATGATAGTGACCAGTTGGAGGGCGTGGGATGGTAGGGGGGAGTTCATGTTCATGTTTTGCCCAGAGCCCCTCCTTAATCTAAAAATATAATGAAAGTAAGGAGTTTTGCACAATAACATCTCATTTTTTACAGGAAGGCACTTCAGCTGTAGAGAACCTGAATGAAATGCAGTGCATGTGGTTCCAGACGGAGTGTGCTCAAGCATATAGATCTATGAACAAGTATGGTGAAGCACTTAAAAAATGCCATGAAATTGAGCGAGTAAGTGTACAAATATTTTGAAATATTTTTTTTGACTTTATACATTTTTTTTTATTTTTTTTAGATCAGATCATATTTTTATGCTTTGAATCCTGAAAAGGACAGTTATAGTTAATTTGGTATATATCCAACGTACAGGTCTCTCTCACACCATAAAATGGTAATGCTCCTTTCCCAGGGACTGGTTCCTGAGTCTTGACCTTTGTGCATAGTGGATCTGTCAATCCATTTTTTTTCTAATTTACTTTACCTCTTAGCTTTGCCACTGTTTTTATTTAGATGTGGGGGTGGGGGGAGGTCATTATTACCTCTATAAATGTGGAACTCTTTCTGCATATATTATTCTGCTTAGTGTGCAACTGATACACTATATCCTTTGTCATTTTATTTCAGCATTTTGTAGAGATCACTGATGACCAGTTTGACTTCCACACCTATTGTATGAGAAAAATTACACTCAGGTCATATGTAGATTTGCTAAAGTTAGAGGACGTACTCAGACAACACCCATTTTACTTCAAAGCTGCCCGGATCGCTATAGAAATTTACCTGAAACTTCATGACAATCCTTTAACGGATGAGAATAAGGAGCATGAAGCAGACACAGGTATGTGGAAAAACTATTTGTCAGTAATGTTAATAACAAGTGTGATTTCCATTTTAAAATTACAGCCCATTCTTTAAACCAGCATTCCTATCTTGTTTTGTTCTCACTCTTGCCAGCTTGAAACACATGAAATCTCACTCTAAAGTGCCATTGTTTAAAAAGGTATCAGGGACTGATATCTGTGGAGGCATAAGTGTAGCTATGCAGAGAAAATGGACAGCCATCCTATTTATAACAGTGTGTGTGTTGGGGAGGGGGTATGTACTGTATGTAAATGTAGCCTCCAGTTTTAACATCCCTCATACTGTGATTTTGATTTTTTTTTTTACCTGTGCAATAGTGGGTTATGTTCTGGTCTGTAGTCTATCTAAATTCATGCACAAATGTCCCAAGACTTTTTGAGGCACCCATTACTGGTGCGAGAACAAGAGATTATGATTTCTACTCCAGATAAAACTCCAGGTCTTCACGAATATGTTGAGGAATAGTAACGTTGGTATGGGAAGCCCTAATTGGACTTCTCCAAAAACCGCTCAAGAAACTCCTTTGTTGCAGTTCTTTAAGATCTATATCATAAGGATCCCGAGTTGTTGTATTGTTGGATACTAATAAGGTCTTTGACCCCATAGAGTGGCCCTATGTTGGAGACTAGGTCCAAGTCCAAAAACAGATTACAATTTTATTGGCTGGGTGAAGTTATCATACCATAATCCTACTGCTACACTTCCAATTAATAATATGTCAGAGCCTTTCCCCATATATAGGGGAAACAAACATGGCTGTCCACCTCCCACCCCCCATATTATTTGCCCTATCCATCAAGCCGCTAGTTGAAAAAGTTCATACTGACACAAACCTAGGTCTCAAGATTAGTTAATTGAAAGTGTGTGTATCTTTGTATGCAGATGATATATTGATAAATCTGGCAGAGCTGTAAATGTTACTAGGGATGGACTGACCCTACCTTACACAATTCAGATATTTTGCAGGGTTTAAGTAAATTGGAACAAATCAATTATTTTCCCTTATAAACACTTAAGCTGTATCGATCATTAGTAATGCTTGTCCACTTAGGGCAGTCCAAACCCCTCTAACTTCCTATATTGAACTTAACCTGACAAGGCTTATAACCAGGTATTAATATTGCATTCATACCTGGTCTTAGTGGCCTGTGAACCGTATGGGAAATGTTTAGTGTTTTTTCAAAATAATTTTCCTTCCACACCTTCTTATCTAACGCCCTACTATATATCACCAAAGCCTAATTTGTGACAACACTATGTAGGTGACAGTAGAGGGAGGAAATATGGTGGGGGACGGGTGGGAACTTGCGGTTGCATTCTCTGAGATGTTCACCAGTCCTTCTGAACCAAAATGTCACTTTGTGTGGTCTATCACCCTTAAATCCTGTATACATTGAATTTTCTCGTAGCCAATATGTCTGACAAAGAGCTGAAGAAACTGCGCAATAAGCAAAGGAGAGCTCAGAAAAAAGCTCAGCTCGAAGAAGAAAAGAAGAATGCTGAGAAGGAGAAACAGCAGAGGAACCAGAAGAAGAAAAAGGAGGATGACGATGAAGAGATTGGAGGCCCAAAGGAAGAGCTCATTCCTGAAAAGCTAGCCAAGGTATGTTCAAAAAATCTATTGAAAAGCAATACGTTTATAAGGCTGGGCTGTGTAGTCAGAGAATGCTAAGTAGTGGTAGCCTGAGGGCCGCTCTTCAGCATGAATGATGGGTATTTTGAGGAGATTGTCAGAGCGCCAAAAATTTTTGTCTTGAAAGCTAATCTTTAGCACAAATTACCGGGGCTCTGAGTAGGGAGACTGGGTACCAGTCTTTTAGGAATTATTCTCTTACAAATCCAAACATCCTGCTAAAATAAGTAGGTTAAAAATGGTTGGTCCTAGAGCTTGTCCGACTGTGGTCGGGGCAGTAGATTTTAAAAAGCACTTTGGCAGGACCACAAATGAGTTTATGCTTTAATGCCCTGTAAAGCACTGCATCATATTGTTGATGGTCTAGGAATAAAATAAACAAAAATATTATTTTCCCTGCAATATATTATTGTCTTAGTATTTGCAACAGAAGCTATTGCTGTTACCTTTGGCACCAACGATTATTTTATTTAAGCAATGTTTTTTGTTTTTAACTTCACTTAGGTGGAAAATCCATTAGAAGAAGCTATAAAATTCTTAACACCACTAAAGAATCTGGTTAAGAACAAAATAGAAACCCATCTATATGCCTTTGAAATCTACTTCAGAAAAGGTAAGAAACCTATGTTCTGTATTTTGCTATGTTCACAATTTGAGCATATAAATATTTGGACTTTCTAAAACGGCTGTTTTATTGAAAAAGAACTAATATGATATAAACGTATATCTATACAAAGGCGAGGTAGAATGTTAACAATAAGAATTTTGTTTCTGAAACACATCAGTCCTATACAATCCTAATAAATTAGAAATGACACAACCATCTTGTTTTGGAAGTATTGAAGTGTATGGCCCATACAGATGCAGCTTAAACATGAGCTGGCCAACTCAAGTTCTAGCTCCCACTTTTCTGACAATGGCATTTCTGACAATGACAGTATTAAACAGGCCCTCATGTCCTCTTCAGGTTGAAGTTTTGAAAATGAAGCCCATTGTACCAATCAGGAATGATCTGCTGCAATATCTGTTCAGCCAAAACTTTGCTTGTTATTTTTAATAGAAAAATTCCTTTTGATGTTGCAATCTGTGAAGAGGGCATTTGCCATAGATTCTAACCATCCTTGGCTTCACCAGTGTTTGGTCCGTTTTTTGTGTGCAGGTAAGTCCTGTGTCCTGATTTTATAGAAAGCTAGCGCAAAAGAAAGTAGGATTATTGCTCCTGTAGCACCCCCCCAGGAACAGGTTAGGGACCCCCAGTGTGAGGGTGGGTTAACATGTTACCTCAGGGTAACGCCTTGGCTTAGTGTGGGGTGTGAATGCAAGTTGGGGGCCAGTCTCTTTTAAGATGTTTTAAAGATTTTATTCTTGCTAACTCACAGGAAGAGGGGGGTAAGGGCTTCAGACACAAAGGAAAGCTTCTTCCAGCTATGCAGTACAGAGGGCCTTTTAAAGCGGACCTTTACCCAAATCTTTAAAATAACGACAAACAGACCTTTAGAAATGTTTAGTAACAACAATCTACAAACACTTACTTCTAGTTATTTGCAGGCTTTATATTCTTTGCATACCTTATTTCTCTTTTCTTTCCCAGTCTTCTGACAGTGGCCATGTTTACTAAGGGCAGATTACTAGCTCTCCTTTTACTTCCTGGATTTCTGGCACATGTGACTAGACATGTGACTAGGATATGCACATCATCTCAGGAGAGGAAAATGCCTTTCCCTGTGATCTCGTGAGATTACAGATGAGATTTCCCAGCAATGCTCTGCTGATGACAAGGCAATCCCAGTGTGCATTGCTTTGGCAAACTGAAGTCATTTTGCCCTTTCAAAGCAGGAAGTGAATGTTCTGCAAGTGTAAGTATTTCACAATCGCAGCATTTTACACCTGACATGTCTGTTATTAATCATCATACATAGAGGTATGCATTGGTAGGATTTGATTTTTGAGTGTAAAGGTCCGCTTTAGGCCAAGACAGACAGCATTGTAGGTATCAGAACCTCAACTGGCTAGAAAACGTTTGTGCCCCCACGCAAAGGAGAGTTACCAAACCCCCTTGTAGGGATTGAGCCTAACCTTCCAGCAGTCTCTCTTCCCTAGTACCCCAACGTGAGTCAGTTTCACATGCAGAGCCTCCATAGGCCACAAGCCTAGCTAAACCACAGTGACAACACCTCAGGAGCCATGGGGGAATGAGAACGTCACAAGGTCAATCCCAAATATTTAATGTTCTCTAGGGCTGCAACTAACGATTATTATCATACTGATTTATTGTTTTCGGTTAATCGGATAAAATGAAAAAAAAAATTAAATACCACATTTTATTTAATAAAAACACACAAATTGAGTGTTAAAAACATAAAGTTTACTTCAGAATAAAACTGCATGCACAGTTTTTGCAATTACACTGCACTAGAATGCACAGCATTGCGGTACCACTCGTTCCAGTGCAGTGTTAAATAATTGTATATATTATATTAGACCATTTTATTTCGTTTCATGGATTTCAAATCTGGATTGTAAAACTCCAACTAATATAATAAAATAACCAAACTTTTGAGCGGCGGCTGAGGTGGATCAACTAATCTGAATCAACTAAATCAATAATGAGAATCGTTGACAACGATTATTATCGATTAGTTGTTGCAGTTCTAATGTGCTCCCGCAGCATACACCGCTGGCAGTAACCCTACTACTGGTTGGCCAGGGAGACATAAATATGTATAACCCTTGCTCTAATGCCAGGGTCACAACCCAGCAGCAGGCAGAAGCAAACAAAAACCTTGGGCTTTGTGGAGATCAAATGAGTGCAACACTATCACTTTGGCTTGGATGTTTAGAGCCCAGCAGAGCTAGGGCAGGTTGGCTATGCTCATAATATCAAATGACTGGATTTCATTTTTATCAGTTGATCATTTTAACATTCACTGTTCAAGCAGCATTTATCGGGTATTCTGTTTGCAGTGCTGCATAGTAGCAAGCTTCTTTCAGATCTTTCTAAACGATTTTCTGTATGTCGACTGCTCTTAAACGTGAGCATGACAGCAACTTCACATGTTCTAGCCATTTCAGGTTTACAGACCAGCCTAATGCATTCTGCTTATATTGTGTCTTTTATGGTTGGTAAATCTGGTTTAAAAGTCTGGTCAGTTTTGTGTTTACTGAGCAATCTGCTTTACACAAAAACATAACATTCTGGATTTATAGCATTTTCAGAAATGTCCTTGACTTTTATTATCCTTAGCAGCTACACTTCCAGACTGAGCAGAGTCCAGTTGATTACCTAATGCCCAAGGGACATGTGTATCAAGAGGGTAGGGTACAGTGTTGCATACATTTTTATGTCTGTGGGGAAAAGGTCCTTTGGCAGAAATGCCGGTGTAAATTTGGCAAATGTATGCGCATTGAATATTTAAAAAATGAGAAACTTTTATAGGGACCCTGTCACTGTTTTTAAAAAGTTTTAAATTAGGCTAATTCTGTAAAGTAAGATTGTAAATACTTTTCCTGCTGCCTCCTTCCTGTTGTCTGTAGGGAAACGGATGCTTCTGGGAGTGTCGATCACCCTGGTTCCCATCACCTCAGTGTTTTTTCCGTTTGCTATCACTTTCTAAACTGTAGTGGTATGGAGGTCGATGGGATGAACCAGTAAGAACTGCGGGGGGACCAGAGAGATAGACACTCCAAAAGTGTTGGTTTCCTTGAAGATTTCAAGGTTGAAACTGTGTGGGAAGCAGTACTTAAGTATTAAGACTTCTTTCACTGGTATGGCTTCATTTAAAACCTTTACCATAAATATAAATACAAGGTCACTTAAAATGTTATAAATTACTATATTTTGGGAAAACTATCACATGCAAATGAATGTATGCATTGATTACCCCCTCTTTTTTTTTTTTAACATCCATCCAGTACCATACAGCATTGTTATTACTGCTTACATTTTGCCTATTGTGCCTAAATGCATAAAAACCTTTTTAGGCCCGATTCACTTACCACCCACACATTAAACTTGCACTTTTGTTGTTTTTTTTATTAGTAGTGCACCACAACTGGCGTGCTGGAAATGTATGTACATTTGGGTTTCATTCCAAATCATTGGCACCGTAGTGCACCACAGTCTTTCTTGAATTACCACATTTCCACTACGAAGTTCAGCTAAGGACCGGTTCACACCTGAGGAACGTGCGGTAAAACGCGCAACAGGTGAAAAGCCATGTTTGCCTACGGGCATGGTTCTCACCTGCGCGTTTTACTGCGCGTACGATCGCGCGGTAAAACGCCATACGCACAAAGAAGTACAGGAGCTTCTTTGGGGCGTATTAACGCACGTATCCGGCTGTATCCATCAGGATACAGCCGGATACCCCCTCGGAAACTCACGTTTGCCACGCGTTTCTTTTACCGTAAATCGCTGTAAGAAACGCGCGGCAAACACGAGTTTCCAATACGCTAAGGTGTGAACCCAGCGTTGGAGTCAAACCAACTGTTTATTTGAGAAGACATCAAACCATGAATAATCCTTTGATCATAAGTGCAATTATTTCAAATGTTTATCTACAGAAATGATCATTTGACACCGGCAAGCCAAAAGATCAGTTTGGTTTAGCACAGTGAGGTTTTCCAACAAGGATAGTTAGTCCTTTTCAGTAAAAAAGGTTTTTTGCCCAAACAGCGCATTTAGTGCAGATGAATGTGGAAAGGTTCAGTATGATTCTTTCATTGAACGGATCCTTGTACTGAGAGATGATATCATTACTGGTAAGGGCAGCTTTATAGGATATTTAAAAAGTGAGAGGTCCCCTTTGAATATATTGGGCTTTATGTATCATTCCAAGAACTGTTACACTTCTGCAATAGCAACTGCCTGGGATTTGACATTTGGAATGTGAGAATTTCTGTTTGGATGTCAGGCAATAGCTATAGAACTTGCATCTGACGTGGATAGGAGGCCCATCACTGGCATAATAATTGAGCTAATGCTTTATTGCACTTTCATACAATAGGACAGTATGTATTCATGCTCAAGTGTGTTCTGGATACTCGTATAATCCTTGATTGCAAAGTGTAATTGCTATCTTTTTTTTCTTCTACAGTATCTGAGAGCAAAGAACTAAATGAATCCGTTAGAACAGTGTTAAAACAAGAAATGAACAGACTCTTTGGTGAAACAAGTCCTGCAAATTTTAACAATGCTATCCTGAAAGAGAACAAGGACTCAATACCCCACCGGTTATCAGGTAGACCTTTAAATGTTCCATAGGAGATTTCTAAACACAAACACTATCCAAATGTGGTGGTTCTTAAATGTTCATTTGGATACTGTTCTAATCAGTAAAAGTAGTAATGTTGATTTAGAGGAAAGAGAGAGAACACGTGTAACATACATATGTGTCACAAGTCCCAGTAGTAGATCATTGTATGTGAACTGCTTTAATTCTAAACATCATCTGCTATAGTGCAGTGTATAAATGAAGAAACCATGAGACATCTAGCATCACTTCCATGCAAAACATTTAGTTTTATTTTGGAGGGAAGGCTGTAATTTAGGTCAGAGTGTAAAGACTTGGGAGCTGAACATGTCAAACCTCAGCTAGTGTTTGATTTGATTTGACAGTGGTCAATTTAATAGAAGCAGTGTTCCCTATTTGTTTTGTCCTTAAACTCATCTCCCCTGCGCTGTTGAGTTGCTTTTGCCGTTGTACTTTGTAGCTTGTGTAGCTATATACAAAATGAATGAATGCTGCTTCAATAGAATTGGTCTGTTCACAAAAGGCAAATGTATGCCCATTATGAAGTTGATGACCAGAATTTTACCATTAAAGCAAGCCTGTCAGCTGACTGTAATATGTGGAACTGCTAGATGCTGGTCAGTATAATATGGGAAGGGGGTTTAACACCGCGGATGTCAACTGGTTAAACATCTGTCAATAAAAGTGCTCTGGCAGGCCCTAAAACCCGGACACCTGCAGTATGCAACTTTTGGGTTGCTTTGGGGAAAGCCACCAGTCCTTCCAAGTTCATTGTGGGCTGCTCCTTTTATAGGTTGCCCCCGTTTCATTGAGAGATGCTTGGGGGGGTCAATCTTTAGCTTGGATTGTTCTAAGAATTACAGATTTCAAAGTAAAACATATCAATCAGCACCTAGGGCGCTTGGCAAGTTTCTAAGATTATTTCTGCCGGTCACCTATTATGACGGGGTCATTTTAGCAATAAAAATGAATGTAGAACCGCTGTTTGGAAGCTCATAATAGCGTTCTGATTATTTGACTTGTGACAAAAACCAGTCAGACAACTGTTTGTTCTTGAAAAAATATAAAAGATTGACACCCAGATGCATATTATTTGATATCAGGCACAGGTTGGCTGGCTTAAGGTTACTGTTTATTTATAAGTATGTTTAATGTTACAGCTGCCAAAATGATGTACTATCTGGATCCTTCTAGTCAAAAGCGAGCAGTAGAGCTAGCAGCAGCATTGGATGAATCCCTCACTAACCGAAGTCTCCAAGTAAGTGATTTGCTTGCACGGGATCATTTCCAGTGTTCAGTTCAGTCATGACTAAAGGTGCCCATACACCTTGCGATTATCGTTCAAAAAAACAACCGCGATCGGGTTTTTGTACAATAATCAGCCATTAGATGGGAAGTGAATGATCACAATTACTATACAACTGGGCGGATTTCCCCGATCGGTCAAGCTGGAAAACTTTTTGAATTGTACGAAATGTAAAGGATTAGTGGCATTTTCGTACGGAAAAAAAGAATTGCAACTTGAACAACTGCATATGTGCAAACGCAAAATCCGTACTGTTGATCGACGAAATTCGGCCAGTTAGTATTGCTAATGAATGATAATAAAAATCTACATTGGTCTGTGCATGATGCGGTATTGGAGCGGAAATCGAAAAGGGGTTCGATGATTGGACGAAAGAAATCAAATGAAAATCGCAAGGTGTATGGGCACCTTAAAAGCTGTTGAGCTGCACACCTGTGTAACATACCTGGTGGTCCAGGCAGTAAACTATCATTAGCCCTAATTAACTTCTTTCTCCCCTATTCCCATTTTTGTTTCCATTGATCATTTTCTTTTGTTTTAGCTTTTACAGTCACAAAGCAATGCACAAAATTGTACAAAAAATGCTTATTTGCATTTCCAGATAACGCCTTTTTTTGTACCATAAACATCATTTGAGTGATTTTAACTATTTTGCTGCCAGAGCTGTGGGGTTTTTTTTTCTGCACACGTTAAAAGGCACATTCTAGACCTGAAGATTACTGACCACCCCCAACCTAAACCTTGTAGAATTAATGGTGTCAGTTGCTATTTTTTTGGGCACCCAATATTTGTGCAACTGTTTATCAATCTCGACATTTCAGCGAGGAAATGTGTACAAATTTATTTTAGTGCACATAAACAAGATAAGATATGAGATGAGGTTGCATCAATTTAATAGCAAACCATGCAAGCCTCAAAACTGCATGTACATGTGGAAAATTACGATACCGACTATTGTCCATAGGCAACTCTTTAAAAGCCTGTACAGGACATCAGTTTAGAGTTAGCCATGAATGATGACCCTGGAATTGGGGGGGGGGGGGGGGGTTGTTTTTATTAAACTTCATTTTTTTTAACCTTTTTTGCTATCAAATGTGATAACACATCGGCAGTGACAGGTCAGCTTTAAGGAGACCCCTGATGTCACCTCGGTATTCCAGTGCAGCTAGATGAGCACAGATCATGTTCTCAGTGGCCAGCAAATTACAGTGCTCAAACCAGAAGTGATGTAACCCTCATCACTTCAGTTTTATTGTACACAGGGGAGAGGTGCAAACATATTTTCCAGTTCTTCTACCCAGGGATGGCTAAGCCTTGGCGGGGACAGTGTGGGAGGAGAGGTGCACTATTTGCAGACTGTAGAAATTAATCAAAATCATGAAGAGAGAGCCAGTAGTCTGCGTATGACATCTAAACAAACAAAACTGGGTGAATGTTTACTGAACATTGAAGCCTGTCATTGTATATGTCCACCTCTGTGATTGACGGCTATGTATATATAGTTTATCCATAGTGATTTTGTTTCCCTTTTTCTTATTTCCATGATTTGCAGACCTGCACTGAGGTGCTGGAAGCCTTGCGTGATGGCAGCTTAGGAGACAACAAAGAAGTTGCCGAGTCCTACAGAGTCAGCTGCCACAAGCTCTTCCCTTATGCTTTATCTTTCATGCCACCTGGCTATGAAGAGGACATGAGTATCACAATTAACGGAGATAGTTCAGCAGAACCTGACGAACTGGCGAATGAAATGTGAACGGCTGATATCGAACAGACATTTGGACCATATCAACTATCTAATATTTTTGTCACGCACCTGCTGTATTCCTCTGTAACTTATGTGGACAATGAAAGGAGTAAAAGAATCGTTGCCTTTAAAGATTGTTTTACTTTTTTTATATCCTGCTGAAGATTAAAATAATGAATTGATGATGTATTAGAGGATATGGGTGGATCGGTTTCTTTAACCTTTGCTGCTAAAATTTAGAGAGGGGAATAAATTTGAGTAAGCTGCCCTGTTTTTAAAGCAATTAATTTATGAGAAAAGACAAAAGGGTGTTACAGTGGTCAGAGCAGGTGTGCGGCACAAATATTACTTCCAATCTTGTCTTTTTAGAGATGAATGCTCCCGGACAGCACACTCCCAATAATGTCAGAGGGGCCTGCTGTGTACAGACAGCTCAACCATTGCACAGGGTCAGGATGCTGTTTTTAGCACTGGATTTTTTTGTTTTTCTTTTTATTGAGCACAAGAGATGTTCTGGAATTTCCAGGTCATTCGAAGTACTCCACAGTTTGCAGAGACCTAGAGAGGAAGTGTGATATTCAGTGGCATATAACAAAATGGGTATCTGGAGAATAGTGGACGTTCTGCAACATACAGTATATTATCTTAAGAAAAGTTCTCGAGATACTAAAGGTGTTTGTGCTTACACATTTTTTTTTATTATTTTTGATCAATTTTAGAATAATCTATTTGAAACAAACTTGAGTAAGGCTCATTAATATAATTTGAAAACTAGGCCCA